GCGTGCGTGCGTGCGTGCGTGCGTGCGTGCGTGCGCGTGTGTGTGTGTGTGTGTGTGCGTGTGTGCGCGTCTCCCTCTCGCCACCGCCGCCGGGCGCCTCCTCTTCCCCGCGTGAATGGCGGCTTAAGTCGCGTTCGTATGCCCTACCAATGCCTTTCCGCCAGCGCATTCCCTCTGTCTAGCCACCGACGCAAAGAGTGTGTGTGTGTGTGTGTGCGCGTGCGTGTGTGCTTCTCTTTCATTCCTCACCCTGCACGCCCTGCCCGCGGTCGTCCGCGCCCCCGCGCGGCGCCGTCGGGCGCGGGTTGGCAGCGCCCCTCGGCCTGGCCCACCTCGGCACGGTCGCGGCTAAAGCGTCGCATCGCCGGCGGAGTTGCCACACGTGTCCGTGCGGAGTGGCCCAACTGGACTTCGTGGACAGAGAAGCCCGCCGCGCCGCCCGGAGGAGGGGCCATACACATCCTTTGGCTTAGTGGCGCTCGAACGACAGAGGGAAAGTAGATAGGTTTCGCATGTCTGTGACATGCTTTCCCCCCCCCTCACACGTCTTGAGACACCTCTGATGTAGCCTTGCAGAATAAAAAAATGTCCGTGCGGCGAGGGGCCCGGCGCGGGGCGTGTTCCCTGCCTCGTTTCGGGGCTCAAGAGACGGGGGTCACAATGCAAACAGGGGCCAGTCAGGGCGCCGGATCTTGCAGGATCGTGCAGGGCCAGGGTCGCACTGGCCTGGGCTTGGGCGCAGGGTCCTGCAGGATCTTGCAGGACCTTCGGCGTTGACCCGGCTTTGGGTCCGGGTGCAGGATCTTGCAGGATTTTGCAAGCCTGAGTTGGCCCGAATCGGATGGGCCCCAACGTGCGGTGAGGGGCCCCGCGCGGGGCGCGCTCCAGCCCTCGTTGCGGCCGATGCCCGGGCGGCCAGGGCGGCGACTCCGAGACTCGGTGCCTGCACCGCCGCCGGGCGGTGCCCCCAGAGAAATCTCTAGGCAGCCCTCAATAGAAAGTCGACCCGCAAAAGTGCAGAGGAGCAACGTCCCAAGAGAGTCCTTGCATTTTTCCCCTTCGGAACGGCTTGTGCATCTTGTGCCGTTTCCCTCTTCGTGCGGGCCCGGTTGTGCTTGTGCAGCTCGTGCATAATCGGTGGTGGCAGCCGCCGTTCGGCCGCACTAGGCATCTCGCTTCTTTCTCCCTCGTTCCCTCCCTTGTGCTAGCTCCTTCTCGCTCTTTGCTCTCGTTTCGCATGTGGCGCGATCGCCCGTCCTTCAGGCCCCGGTTCTGCGCGTGTGCTTGCCTGTCGCCGGTCGGTTCGTGTGGTGTTCTCAGTTTGCCTGACGACCTTTTCTGCACAGCGATCGAGGCCGAGCGGGGTGAAGTTTTGTGGTTGCGCTCCCTCCCTCCCTCCCCCAAGAAAAATCCTTCCCCTTCGGGCGATCTGTGGCCGCTTTCGCTGGCCGTGCCCAGCGCGCCAAGTGTCGACATGGCCTTCCAAAGGCCCCTGCGTCCTCATCGTGCGTCTTTATGATACGGATGAACTGTAGAGAGGGAGAGGGGCAACATTTTTGAGAGCGTGATCGCCGTCAGCTCACGCGGCGTGGGGAAGCCCGTCGCCGTCGTCGTCGAAGGCGATGTGGCCGAGGTCGGCGCACTCGAAAGGTTCGGCAGCAAACTCCTCCTCCTCGTTTTCCTCCTCCTGTTAGGGCTCGAGAGAAGCCAGGAAATGCAGAGCAACTACATATTGCCACCGCCCCTTGTTCCGAAATAGAAGCGAGCAAAAAGTTGGCGAATGACCTGAGAGTCGCAATCGG